TGGTACCCGAGCCCGCTCGCTGCAGCAGCCAGAACCACGTCTGACAAGAACCCAGGGGCCTTGTGCCTGTTGTAGGCACCAGGTTTAGGGCCCCTGTGGTTGGCAGGAGCTGTGCAGCCTGGAACAGCCGGGATCAGGACCTCCTCCTCCACCCCACAGCTGCAGCCTTTGCAGGGTGAATCCCCGCCTGCTGCGCTGCTGCAGTGACAGGTTTTTTCTGCTCAGATGCTGTCACAGGGCAGGATAATCCTGGTGGTTGTTTATTTTATGTGTTTTAATTGTCTAAACTGTGAATTGTTTGTTTCATCCGTTTGCATTCACTCCCCCGTGGGACAGAGACACAGAGTCCCAGAGCTCTGGGGAGAAGAGGAGATTGAAGCAAGAGGATCTGCTGAGATGGTTTTTTCTTTTCACATTTCTTTCTGCTTTGTAAATGGCTGCTCTGTGAGGGGGAATGTCCCGTCCCAGCTTTAAAGCTTTAAAAACATTTTTGTTGTTTCAGTACTTAAATGTTGACTGTTCCCATGTTAAAAATTACTGATTTGGGTCATGTCTTACGCTTCTTCTTGGTACTGTTCTCCTGTGTGCGATCCTTGCAAGCGTGTGAGCTCCCAGGGCCCTGCGTGTGCCAAAGCTGGAGTCCACGTCCAGGTGATCTTCTGTAAAATAAAGTTCCCTTCTTGTTGCATGTTGAGTTGTAATTAGTGTCACCCGATTTCCCTGGGTGGAAATGTGGCTGTTCAGGGTGCTGGGGCTGTTGTGTGTTCAGGAGGAGAGCGCTGCCCTGGAGGTATGAGGGGGAAGGCAGGAGGCAGAGGCTTCTGGGCTGGATCTGTGTTGAAATCAAAGGGCAGGGGAGGTGGGGAGGTGTTTTCCATGCTGGGCTGTGCTCCTGCAGAGCCAGGGCTGGGGAGAAATCTGTTTGCAAACACCTGCTGCTCCGTTGTCCTTCAGCAGCGGCTGCTGGAATGAGCTTCCCTCGTCACCTGGCTGCGGCTGTGCCTTTCCCTCCCCTTCTGCTTGGGAAACCATTTCCCTGGGCGGACAGGAGCCCCCTCCCCTGCCTTGTGCCGGGGTGCAAGGCTCCGTGTGAGCCCCAAGCTGGACC